ATATGCTCAGGGTTTAGCTGATCGCCATATTTGGGGTTGGGAAGGAATTTTCCTCCAGGGCAGATTGCATGAGGCCCTGGAGTTTTCGCCTTCCTCTGTAGTATGGGGCACGGGTCACTTGCTGGAGGATTCTCTGCTCCTTGAAGTCTTTAAACCACGATTTGAGGACTTCAGTAGCGCAGACATAGGTGAGAGAGTTTTCTCAGGAGTGGGTGGGTGAGATTCTGTGGCCTTCGTTGTGCAGGAGGTCGGACTAGATGTTCATAATGGTCCCTTCTGATCTTAATATCTATGAATTTATGAATCTATGAATCAGAGATCCAATTGCAGGATTGGATCAAATCACTATTACAGTCTAATGGTTGCTATAAAGTGAAAATGTAAATACAATGGCTTCTATATCATCACAGGACATTTGTTAACAAGAACTGGATTACTAGAGAGATGCATGCTTTTGTATCAGAAATCTGGTTTCATCAGAAAGATCATTTATCTCATCATACACTTCATGAATTTCTTTTCTGATATTGTTAGAACAGTTGACAAAATAATTAGCTACTGAAATAATTAAATGGTTAGTAGAAAGGAACTCATTATTGCTGGTTCCAAACACCAGGAAGACCACTCTCTCATCAGGAGACATGAGGATTGCAATCAGAATCCTGTCTGCCTGGAGGAAAATTACAATTAAGAGACTTTAAATCTTGTGGGCTAGATCCTGAGCTGGTTTAAACTGACATAGCACTATGGACTTCAGTACAGTTACATTGCTTTATATCAGCTGAAGCTTCATATTGTAAATTATTCCATTGGAGTACGATAAGGGCTTTCAGGCTGGCCTCTATGTTTAGGGACTCTTTGGAGTAACTTTTCCCTATAATTAATTTTTTCTCACTATCTCAACAGTCATAGAAATCTTTGCTTAAAACTCATGTAAATATTATGCCCTAAGGGGCTTAGTGAATCCCTCAAAATACTTGCAGGTAATAGATGTTTACAGAGAATATCATTAAAAACAATGAATACATCCTGCCCTTACCCATTTATATTCCCAATTCCCAAACACAGGAAATTAGGACTTCCTGTAAAGATTTCTAATTTAATTAAATGTAACTATAGTGTTCTCGTGGCCCAGACGGAAATGGCTCCAGCCAAGAAAAGGTAGGCATAGGAGCACAGAAGGGAAACCCTCTTACACCACATGGGCACCTGTTCCAAACCTCCCTCCCTCCCCGAGTAAACACACAACAGAATAGAACAATGTATATAACAAAGGGAAATATTTATTTACAGAGGGGTGAATGGAGAAAAACAGAGGGAGAGTGGTAAAACAGGGTCACATCCAACATGAGGACCCACAGGCCCAGTGGTACCATATTATAAAAGGATAGACACCAAGCAATGTGTCTAGACTCACAGGTCAGGAATCCTGGGCAGAGTTCCTGTCCAGCAGTCAGGGGAGCTGGAACAATTTTTACGGCTGGGGTGCTGAGAGTCATTGAACCAAACTGTAAACCCTGTATATAATGACAGGTTTCAGAGTAGCAGCCATGTTAGTCTGTATTCGCAAAAAGAAAAGAAGGATTTGTGGCACCTTAGAGACTAACAAATTTATTTGAGCATAAGCTTTCGTGAGCTACAGCTAACTCCATCGGATGCAAATTTGTTAGTCTCTAAGGTGCCACAAGTACTCCTTTTCTTCCTGTATATAATGGAATCCACTTCAAGCCATGGGTGCACCAGCATCTCCAGCACCCTAGTTCCAGCACCTATGCCAGCAGTGAGTTTTGGGTGCTTCCGGTCATCTTCGGCACCGGTAAACTTTCCCCAACAAAGCTCTCCTGTGGCCTCTTCTGCAGCTTGCTAGAAAACCACACAGAGCAGCAACCTCCTCACTTAACTAGCTACAGCCTCCCTCTTTATTCCCACTACAAAGTCACAAGCCCCAGAACTCCCAGCCTCATGCAGTCCAGGTGTCACTGATACTGGGTAGAGCTCTGGTTTGGCCTTCTCGGGTGATTTCTCCCTGGCATGGTGCTCCTCCTGACTCTGTCCCTCCTAGGCTTCAAGATGGTTCTCAGCTGCTTCGCTATGTGAGACCCTGCTTGCTGTAGACTCTCTTGTCTGGAGCACCAGATACACACATGAAGCTGTCACTCTCCTCCTCTGGCACAACCAGCCCTTCCTCTGCCTCAGGATAAGGTCTTTAAGGGGCCATGCTCTCTAAATTAAAAAGGGGTTGCATTAAAAAAATCTGATTAACTCACTCCTAAGTGATTCCAGAAAACTAGAGATTCTAAAGAATCAGATATACATTAAAAAACCACTCTTTATTTTAGACCTCTCTCCCTCTTACAAGCCTTAACTATTCACTTGTACTTCTAGGCTCTTGTCTACACATAAAACTTAGGTCAACTGAACTACATCCGTTAGGGCTATGGAAAATTTCATAGCCTATGCAATATAGTCAGGTCAGCCGAACCTCCCTGTAGACACAGCTCCAGCAGCTCCCCCCTGCCAGATCCTTTCACTGGCCCTGCAATGTGGACACAGCCTACCTGTCACTGCTGCATGTAGCTACACATACTACAAACACGGCCACTGGTGATGTGTAGTATAGATGTAGCCAGAGAGATATAAACTGCCTGATTTACTCTAGCCTAATGGCTATATAGAAAAACCACCTCTTCCCCCTCTCCCTCTTACTGAAATCAGTTTCTGAGAAACATTTTGTTTTTGACAAAATGGTCTTTTTTGATGGAAAAATGTTAGTGAAAAATCTTCAACCGGTTTTAATAAAAGGCAAGCACCACAACAGATACCAGTTACATATACCCATCCTTCCAAGTTTTCTGGGAAGACTGCATTTATGCTAGGACAGAAGGCACAGATTCAGGGAGCTTACGGTGTTTGTTGCTCTTACATTTCCCCATTTACATTCTGAGACTCATGCTCTACAGTCTACAGCAGTGTTTCCCAAACTTGGGACGCCGCTTGTTCAGGGAAAGCCCCTGGAGGGCCAGGCTCGTTTGTTTACCTGCCATGTCCGCAGGTTCAGCCGATCGTGGCTCCCACTGGCCGCAGTTTGCTGTGCCCGGCCAATGGGGGCTGCGGGAAGCGGCGGTACGTCCCTTGGCCTGCGCCGCTTTCGGTCAATAAAAAGCATACTTGTTTTCCTTTCCAGTAATTACATTACAATTAATTTTGATTCCAGTGCCTTCTTTCCTTTCAGAATCCTAATCTTCCATAATATAAATATCCATCACATCTGGTCACTATTTCTTTTGCCTTGACCCTGGTATGTCACTGTTCCTACTGGTATGCTCTTCTCCACTTCCTTCCACTTCTGTTATTTCAGACCAAATCCCTCTGGTCTGAGCATAAAATCCTGGGAAGCATATGTTGTAGATGCGTTACTCTGTGCTGTTTTTCATCCAATTCCTTTGCTGAACCTGTTTTAAGGTGTATCAAAGCTAACTGGGAATTTCCAGAGAACAGAAAATTGGCAAAATAATGCTTCATTTTATTCTGGCATCCTTTTTGATATCCACAAAAAGCATTCTGTTAATCCACTGATTTTTGGATGATAAGCAGCACTTAATATGCTTTATTGATGTGTTATTTTTATCCCCATTTCAAATTCCTCAGAAACAAATTGAGGGACCATTATCTGAAGTGATCATTTTAATGTAACTTAAGTGCAGCTCCAGTATACTGCATAATGTTTCAATAATAGTAGTACTAGTATTGACCAGCTAGACTAATAAGCATCAACTACCGCTGAATAAGTGCGCTTTGGCAGATAAGAATAAGCAATGTGTAGTCTTTGCCAGGATTTAGCAGCCCACTTCCATGGATGCAGTGGAGCAGTTTCTGGAATATTCTGGTGGCTCCTTTTCTGCACCCCCAGACAATTACAGGAGCAGTGAGTGTTATGTGGGTGCAGACAATTAGACATGAAATTCCACCTACAGATAATTACAGTCACAAAAATGGAGGCCAGGTGTGAAAATTCTAGTCTTAAAAGCTTACTGTGGCGTCACCATGAGATGTGAGGCCAAGTTTTGGGATTCAGACCTAATACTGTTGGTCAAAGAGGCAAAATTGTCACCAGCTGAGTCTTGTTGATGTTTAGAATACAGTATACGCTGAATTATCCAAATAGCATAGGGGCACATGGATTTTATTGGGATAATCCAGAGTCTGGATAATCAAGAGGGCAGGAGCCATTCAGCGGCCGGGGGCTCATCCTCCTCCTCACATTCCTGGCTGGAGGTCTCTGCTTTGCCCCACCAGGACGAGTGTGCACTTTGTGCCTGAAGGAATTGGGTGTCACTGGCCCTGCGGCAGTGCAAGGAGCCCTCTGCAGCTTCACCTTCGTTGCCTTGCTCACTCAGTCATGACAGCAGGGCTGCAGAGGGCTCCCTGAGCTGCCACAGGAACCATTCAGCAGCAGGGTGGCCTCTCCCACAGCCAGCTTCATTATTATCCTCCTCCTCCTGGCAGTCCTGGCCAGGGGTTTTTGCTCTGTTATCCGAACCCTTCCCTGTCTCCCAGCATGAGGTACATACTACAAAAAGCATGTATCTCATCCTGGGGGGCAAGGGAGGGATTCAGATAATGTGGCGGTTTGGATAATAGGGTTTCAGATAAATGGGAGTCAGCTCACCAACATTCTGCATGGAAACGGGGTACTGCATCCACTCAATCCTGGATGCCCATCACCCACCCACAATCTGTTTCTCACCCCTTTCACCTTCCAAATTCCCTTGTTTCTGCTTCCTGCTCGAAGTCCTTACCCTGAAGAATTTCACTTTCTGCCAAGAACTATCTCAGGTAAAGTTAGGGGTGTCCTAAGCAAGTGTTCTGCGCCTCCTCACACGTAGGGATTTTCTCCCTTCTTGGGCTCTTGAGGCAGGAAAGTGGAGATGCTCCTGCAGCTCCCCTCACCAGACATTGATGGAGAAAAGTGAAGATGCCCTCATTCTTTGCTGGCTCACCTCTATCCTGAAGGAAGTGAAGGCCTAAATCCCGAGTCCGGACAGAGTGAACAGCACCACTTCTCTCTCTAGCCTCCTTCCCTGGGTCAGATCCTGTGTTCTGGAGAAAAATGAGGAATGGGCAATTTAAGAGTTGGGAATACAGGAAATTTTCTCAGACCGCAGCTCCCCTGGACACTATTGACCTGATTCTGAAGTCATTTACTCTGTTTTTGCACCAGCGTAACTCCATAGAGTTAAATGGAGTTATTCTTGATTTACACTGTTAGTGGGAAATGAATCAGGTCTTATATGTGTCACCTTTATTTTTATTTATTTAAGTTGACAGATATAATCCCCATAATACTTGACGGTATTATGGAACACAAATCATATTCAAATGCTCATTCATGTCCCAATTCTGGAAGTTATGCCACGCAAGCAGCCCTGCTCCAAGCCCACTGATATCAATGGATCTGCTTGCATTGAACTTATTACAGGATCAGAGCCTAAGTATTTTGAAAACACATTCAGATTCATACAAATTGCATAGAATGAAACAGTAAATGAAAAAGTATTGCAAGCTTTTCTGCATGATAACAATACTTAGAAAAGCCATGAGCCCTTATGGCATTAATTTTTCAAAAGATTTACTATTTTAAATATAAGAAACTGACCTTTTGCTTTGTCATCAAGGAGATTGTTTAGCTTTTTTCTGAGAAAAATTTGCTATGTGACAGGCAAAAAGCCAGGAATAAAAAGTCATTTTAGAACGCCTACAAATAATTTTGTACATTGTACGAAGACACATGCATGCACATTCACAAACACACTTGTAGTGATCTGGATTCCTTTTCATCTGCTGTAATGAAAAATATTAACCTAATATTTAAGGTTTTCCAACAGAAGGCTGTGTTTCTTAACTTGACAGCAGCATGTGATAGCATCTAGCAAACTTATCTGCTGGTCAAGATGTCAAAGACGTTACCTTGATGGCTTGTTATGGCCTTGTAAGTGATTCTGTGAAACATAATTCCAAGCAATGCTAGGAAATAATCTCAGCACATGGAGGATCCAGAAGAACAGATGTCAGGGATCTGTTCTTGCTCCAACTTTTTCATATATTTATGAATGATCTGCCTCCAACAATCTCAAGGCCATTTAAATCTGCAGGTGCCATCTGCCTAGCCTCAAGAGACAGAGGATTGAGGATAACCGGAACCAAGGTATGGCCAGTTATCAGTGGCTGTTGAAAGAAATGAAGACTTAAGACCAATGTGTCAAATATGGTGTCATCATGCTTCCATTTCTATCACACTAACACTACACAAGAAATCAACATCTTCTTGAATGGAGAATGACTGGCACATGACTCAAAGCTGTTATATCTAGGAATAAATCTAGCTTGCGCACACATCAGTAAGGACCACTTCATCGAGATAAAGAGCAGAAATTTCTTCTTAAATAAGCTTGTAGGTTTAACTTGGGAAGCTAATGTGCAAACAATGCACACCTCAGCACCAGCTCTCTGCTACTCAGTGGGAGAATACTGTGCTCCTGTGGGGTTAAATTCTCCCCACACAAACCTAACTGATGTGCAGTTGAATTAAATAATAAAATTATAACAGTGACTACGAGACAAACAAACACCAAGTGGCTACCATTCTTTTCTAATATCCTACCTCCTAACGTTAGGCATTATGTTGCAGTAGAGAACTTCCTTGACAAAATCCAGGATATACTAATGGGACAGATATTGCAACCCTATTCAATGTCTTTGGGAACCATACTGTATAAAGTTTATGAGTGGTTTAGTGGGCCAGGCATTGTGTGCAACTCCGTGGAGGAACTAAAAATCACTGGTGCAAGTTCAACAGTTTCACATATGCAGCCTATGACCACACTTGTGGAATCAGGAAAAGCTCTCTGTGTAGCTGTGGTGTGATTGAGGATGCCTCACACTGTCCATCTCACACTATCAGGAGGACTTTCCAGAGTCCACAGCACTGACCCAAAGCTATTGAATGGCTAAAACATATCTGATGTCTACCTACACACTTTTTACTTTTACATTTGTTTTTATCTCCTTACTTTAATATTTTGAACCTTTTCCCATCTTTAATGCCACTTGTGCATTTGCAAATAATAATATGAGGTATTATATAGGATCCTAAACATAATGCTTTAGATACTACCATAGAAAGGACGTTATAGATCAAAAGACGGGGGAGAAAATGATGACTGTGTCTATAGCAGAGCAGATTGCATTTGGCAATAGGAAGGACTCGGATTTATAAAAATGACTCATTACAAGCATAGATCAGATAGAGAGAAGACACCAGTGATAGCTATAAGTTACAACTGTATTCCTTACCAAGTGTTTTTGGTATTTCTCCACATAGTCTTTCAGAGGCTGATCCAAAGCCCTTTGAAACTCTCACTAACTTCAGTGGGCTTTGGGTCAGGCCCATACAGTAATAGATGTGGTGGTGAATAACTGTAGACTTTTCCCATCTAAGAAAAGCAAGGGAGACAGACTAGCCCAAATGGCCTACAGACGGGAAGAAAAGTTCCACTGTAGCCAAAGATTCTCCCTGCAAGAGGGGACAGCACAATCCCTGAATCTCTCTATCATGTTATCCCACAATTTGCTCCTGTCTCTTTTCCCTCATGGCTGGTCCTGGTAGATACTGCACTCTCATTGCTGTGTTAGTCTCTGCAAGAGATAAAGTAGCCACAGGAGATGGCATGAGGAGATGGTGTGTATTAGTGCTTTACTCCCAAGTATGGGTCTGTACACTGGCCTGAGCCTGTGGATGACCAGGCTAGCATAGAAGGGGTCGCTGTGTGCTCCACAGGAGTTCTGTGTTCATAATCTGCTGAACTGTTGAGTACTCCACCTCAGCCTGCCCTCTATGAGTACTGCTTCTCTCTCTCCCCTACAGGACTTTCACACCAAGCGTGGAGGCATTCTGTGAGGCCCTGAGCACCCTTCACTAACCAGATACACACATGGAGAATAATCAGCTGTATATGGATCACCCCCCTCCTATGTAGAAAAGGGGCTCAGTCATCTTGACTGCATCACCCCTTCCGTCATGACACCAGCAAGGTTATGGGGATGGGCAGTGCATAGGCCAGAGGAGGGTGTGCGACCAGGGCAAACATCTGCTCCGACAACATTACTCTCCAGCGCTCCTAGAGGTATATGCTGTATGGCAGTAGAGAGAGATGTCATCCGAAATGCTAAGGAAGATGAGGGTAGAAAGATAACACAAGCCTGTGCTGTATTATCTCACTATTTCCCTGCTCTCGTTCTCTTCTTCCAATTTCTAATTGTTTAGTATTAAGACTCCACTTCCTAAGCTTTCAGGAGTCTACCTCAGCTTTCAGACACCTTCATTGTCTGAAAGGAAAATAAGCGTTTTGAACATCATTTAATAAAGTAAAGGAAATGAAGAAATGAAATTTGGAATTAACACCTGGAGCAACAGACCTTTTTACCCTGATTACCATCTGGATCCTTGACACTATTTTTTCATAGCCATTTACATTTAATCACAGCCTTTTGCTTTTTCTTATTCCTCACAGGAACGCAGCTGGAAGTGGGGGAGGGATTATGGGCATAAATCTCTAGTTTTCCATGGGTTCACTGAAGGAGATTATGTTGTAAATACATGCAAAATAGGGTCCCAAAGCCAATGACAAAAGAAAGAAATACAAATTTGAAAGGCATGAAGTCTTTAAACCCTGTGATAAAGAACCAATTATCAGTGTCTGAGTGCAGTTAGCAATTTACTGCTGATTTATTTGTAAACATTCAATCCATTTGATATGTGACCCCGTCTAAATACACAGGCATTTAGGAACAAGCCTGCATTCAAGCAGCAGAGCCACATGGCAGAATTCCTACCAGGACTGCTTGGAATGGAGAGCAGCACACTTGCTGCTGTGTTGCATCAAGAGAGATGCATACTCCCACCCCCATCCCCTGTGTGCCAGCTCACTCCACTGTACTCCTGAGCTTTGGGTCTTTGAGTGTGGCACTCTCTTTGCAGGCTTCCCCCAACCGCTGTGCACCTACATGAGGGCCTGCTAGAATCTCTCCTATTATAGGATCAAACTGTCCTCACACATTATAAAGCTATGGAAGAGGGTTTCCATAAGCAAAAACTGCACAGGGAATCTGTTGCAGAAATTTCAAAAATAAATAAATCATAGAATCATAGAATATCAGGGTTGGAAGGTTCCTCAGGAGGTCATCTAGTCCAACCCCCTGCTCAAAGCAGGACCAGTCCCCAACTAAATCATCCCAGCCAGGGCTTTGTCAAGCCTGACCTTAAAAACTTCTAAGGAAGGAGATTCTACCACCTCCCTAGGTAACGCATTCCAGTGTTTCACCCCCTCCTAGTGAAGAAGTTTTTCCTAATATCCAACCTAAACCTCCCCCACTGCAACTTGAGACCATTACCCCTTATAGATAAATAAATAAATAATCATTAGACCAGAGACAGGGTGAAAGTGAGAATGGTTATAGTCCAGTGGTTCTGAGAGATGGGTGACCCAGATCCAGTTCCAAATGACTATTCATCCATAGAATCATAGAAAAGAATTTTGAGGGACCTCCAGAGGTCACCTAGTCCAGTCCCCTGCACTCATGGCAGGACTAAGTATTATCTAGATCATTCCTGACAGGTGTTTGTTTAACCTGCTCTTAAAAATCTCCAGTGACAGAGTGCACAACCTCCCTAGGCAATTTATTCCAGTGCTTATCCACCCTGACAATTAGGAAATTTTTCCTAATGTCTAACCTAAACCTCCCTTGCTGCAATTTAAGCCCATCACTTCTTGTCCTATCTCAGAGGTTAAGAAAAACAATTCTTCTCCCAGCTCCTTGTAACAACCTGTCATAAATATAGAGGGAAGGGTAAACACCTTTAAAATCCCTCCTGGCCAGAGGAAAAACCCTTTCACCTGTAAAGGGTTAAGAAGCTAGGATAACCTTGCTGGCAACTGACCAAAATGACCAATGAGGAGACAAGATACTTTCAAAGCTGGAGGGGGGGGAGAAACAAAGGCTCTCTCTGTCTGTGTGTTGTTTTGCTGGAAACAGAAAGGAAT